CCCCAAAACCCCAAAACCCCAAAACCCCGTTTAGTCCAAATCAGATTGAATGTAAAATTTAGAGCATTTTGGGAATTAAATTTTGAGACAAAGGTCTTTAGTAATATGTATTTTGAGCAACCCATCCTATAAGTTTACCAGTTTCCTTCTCTATGCCTGATCTGAGTAACATTTTCCTTCCCTCATCATAAAAGAAGATAATAATACAGAAAGGGAATGAAGGAATAGAAAAATGAGGAGGAGCAATCATCCTAGTTCCTAATACTTTATTGAACCATGGAACATAACAAAGAACCACAACTAGAAGTGTTCCAAAAATGACTCCAAAATTAGCAAGCTTATTACTAATTCCATGTTGAGAGATTGAAAGACTTCTTGTCTTACAAACTATCAAATTAGCCCATTGCGTAGCAACGATTGATATAAGGTAAGCGGTTTGTGCATATCTCAATGCTTCAGATCTGTAACAAATCGTGATATCGTCATAAACGATATTCTTTGCCCACCATTTCGGGGTATCATTATACCACCTACATTCAGACCAATGAGAGGGCTCAAGATCGTAGAAGTAGAGCCTAAGGTCAATGCTATTATTATCAAGTGAATTAAAGTTAAATTTCTGAGGTATTTCACTATTAACTCTAGTGTTTCCTCTAATAACAGTAGTTTGAGTGCCTACTGATGGATTATACTCATCATAGCTATTTGGAATAATGCCCTTTTTACCTGCCAACCCAATAAGAGTAGAAGGTTTAAAACCATAATCATTCATGACTATGAAATAAGTATAGAGCCCTGCAAAGGCCTGGATCACTCCAATCTGTAGGTAAGAAAAAGAGATTAGTTTGGAATTTATCAAGTGGTCATGTTTTAGATTCCGAGGTTTATTTAGCAGTATATTATGCTCCGGGTTTTCATAAGCAAATGAAATAGACGGGATAATATTGACACCAATATCAATGACCAAGATCATGACCACAGTGAAAGGAAGCGGCGCTTGGAATAATATCGCAAAAATAAATGGAAACATTTCTGGAATATTTGAAGAAAGAGTGAAAGCAATTGACTTCTTCAGGTTATCATAAAAGAGTCTTCCATCTTCAATTCCGTTAATAATAGTGCTGAAATCATTATCCAGAATGACCATATCTGCAGCATTCTTTAAAGTGTTTGATCCGTCCTCCATAGCAATTCCAGTATCAGCAATACCCATTGTTGATAAATCACTTAAATTATTGCCAGTTACTGCAACATTATGACCTAAACGTTGGCAAGCATCAACAACCAGAAACTTCTGAGAAGGAGTTATTCTTGTGAATACAACTTCATCTTTAGAAACTCAATCTAAAAGAAAATCTTTCTTCACTGTATCATTATCGTCATCGTTTGTTGATTGATTTTGCAAATCTTGTTCTTCGAGTTTATAAGAAAGTTCTTCTCCATCAACAACAAGTGCATCACATTCCTCAAAAGCTTGCTCTTCAGACATCCCGTTTTCAATCATATCTAAGTTAGTCTTTGATTCTTCAGAGAAAATATTAGTCCTCTTTGCAATGAATGCTGCTGCTTCAGGATAATCATCAGTAAACATTATAGCCTTTGTTACACTCACCGACGATAAACTTCCAGCTCTTTTCCATTTTCCAACTGAACTGGATATATTCTCTCTGAGAGGGTCTTTTATTCCTACTAATCCAACAAATCGAAAATCCCTACATGATGAATACTCCAATCTATCTTTTACGACAAATTGATCAAATACTTCTATTCCACTTTTTATGATATTCGCAAAGGCTAAAATTTTCTCACCGTTTTTGGCAAGAGTATCAATGGCAACTTTGAGCATATTATTCCAAGATTCATGAATCATTCTGTCTTCCCCATTAACAAGAATGGTATTACAATTTGGCCAAATGACTTCTGGGTCTCCTTTTATAATCACTAAATAATGTATTTTACTACTTTCTACTGTATAATCTGCAAGATATCTTACAAATATACTGTGTTTTGAATCTGAGTTGTATGATATCTCACAGCTATGACTGGTCTCTTCTCCAAACTCGTCTTTTGCCATAAAGGAGACAATGGGAAACCGTCTCTTGCATTCATCAATGTCTTTTAAAGGTTGAGCAAATTTTATTAGACTACTTTCTAATTGATTGCCTTGAGTATGTTGAAGCTGAAAAGGCTTTTTCTTTTCTATTTCTCTAAGTTCATTCTCTGCTAAATCTTTGTTTTGTTGATAATTTTTTGAAGAAAGATTTGTAGGATTCACTTTTAGCTTTTTAGCAATGTGTCTTTTTATCTGTTTTTCTGTTGGATTAAAATTGAAGGATGCTGTTGTCCCCAAGATGAAATTATAGAGCAATTCTTTGAAAGTAGAATCCCTAATATCATATCCTAGAGTGATATTTGCTTTGCTTTGCTCAAAAGTCTGATAATTTACAGATGCATCTTTTAATTCACCATCATACCAGAGGGAAGAAACACTCATTTTATTTTGAGTCAGAATCCCTGTCTTATCAACACAAATACAAGTTGTTGATCCAAGTGTTTCTACTGAGTCTAAATTGTTCACAAAGAGCTTCTTCTTTCTCATTCTATTGAATGAGATATCAAAAGAACTGGCAATAGTGAAGAAGACTCCGAGTGGAATGTTAGATAAAATGATTCCAAGAGAATAGAGGATATTTGCATCAAATTCAATATCTAAGATTAATCCCAGCAAAAATAGAAGAATGCAAACCACAACTGCGATAACAGAGGTAATTACTGTAAGTCTGCCAATTTCTTTGGGGAGCAAACTCTTTTTAGAAGTGCGAGAGTTGAGATATAGGGATTTAAGAAGTGAAGCCAAGGACGTATTCAACCCAGAATTAACTAAGACTCCAATCCCATTCCCAGATGTGCAAGACGATCCTCAGAATGCAAAGTTTGTTGCCTGGTGTAAACTGCTTCCCGAAGGCTCCACAGTCATGAGTAAATCTTCTGGCTCTCCTGTGAATTGAGCATTATTGATTTTCAATTGATTACTTTCAATTATTCTGACATCTGCAGGAAGTATTGTATCTTCATTAATTTGGATTAAATCTCCTGGTACAAGTTTAAAAGGCTCGATGGAAAATATTTCTCCTTGCCTTATGACATTTGCTTCCGAAGGAATTAGTTTATTTATATAACTTCATCAAAGAAGTAGATCGCTTTGTTGAATAATATCTAAAGAACCAACTAACAAAAGTAAAAGCCAAAAGAAAAAGACCAAGGAATAGATATATTGGTTGGTCGATATTCATGAAGTAGATTATGAATCACAGCACAACTCACAGTAATAACAGATATGAGTGATAGTTCAACTCTTTCAGATATGTAATAAGCCAAAGATTGAGTTCTTCTTCTAAACGAAGTTTTTCTTGTGAAAGTTTTGAATTTGCTTGGATTGTTGTCAGTCCATTTTCTAAAATATGCTCACTTTGTTTACTATAAATACTTACTGTCTTTTATGCGTGTTTCCAAGCTATCTTCAAGCTCCTCGATTGTCATTTTATGATGAGTAATATGCTCAGTGTCTTCATACTTTTGAATAAAATCGATGATATCTTCTTTTTGCTTTCCTTCAATCAACTCAATTTGCTCAATATTTATTGGTTCATCAGTATCCAAAGGTTGGTCACTTTGTTTACCACCCTCATATTTCTTACTATTACAAAAGTTATTTAACTTCTCAACGCTACAAACTTATAAACAAATCATAAACAACATCATTCCCTACTTATGCTTGTCATAAAGAATCCTTGAAGCTTCAGTTAACCCTGGCTGAGGTATCATCCCCTATACTATAAATAATTATAAAACCTAAAATTTCAACCCTCTTATATCAAACAGGGGTTTTGGGGTTTTGGGGTTTTGGGGTTTTGGGGTTTTGGGGTTTTGGG